CATTTAAAACCTTTACCTTTCAGGCCACTGCTTCAGAGTTTACACTTTTGAAATACTACCACATACAATAAACACCGGAAGCATCATTTTGACTGTGTAAATTCAATGATCTTTGCAATCACTTGCTATGCCTCAGAGAGCTGGACAATAAATAGCAAGGACAGAAGGAGAATAGATGCCTTTGAGCTGTGGTGTTGTAGAAGAGTATCAAATATACCATGGACTGCTAAGAGAACAAATAGGTTCATCCTAGAGAGGGTGAGACCAGGCTGCTTCTCGGAGGCAATGATTCTGAAGCTTTGTCTGACATATTTTGGACATGTTGCAAGGAGGGATCGTCCTTGGAGAGGGACATCATACGTGGGAAAGTGGAGGGACAGCACAGGAGAGGAAGACCCTCAGTGAGATGGATAGATTCAGTTACCAGGGTAATCTGGGTAGGTGTGTTGGAGACAATGAGATTGGCACAGGATAGAGCAGGGTTTAGGACTGTTGTACATAGGGTCACTATGAGTCGCAGGTGACTCAATAGCACGTAACAACAACAACAACAAATTCAATGTGTGCCTTGGCTATATTTTATAAGATTTTTATGCTCTGAATAATTAGAATTCATTCAACGAATCAAAAATAATGTATTTTCATAAAAAACTAGGCTAGAATCTAAGGTGTGCCTAATCTAGGCCGTGGTCTTCACAATTACTTGCTATGCATCAAAAAGCTGGACAATGACTAAGGATGACAGAAAAATTGATGCCCTTGGGTTGTGGTGCTGGAGAAGGGTCCTGAACATACCATGGACCACCAAGAAAACAAATAGGTCTGTCTTGGAGAGGGTGAAACCAAGTTTCTCGTTGGAAACTAGGATTTTGAAGCTCCTTTTCACATACCTTGGGCATGTGGCCAGGAGGGACCAGTACTTGGAGAAGGGCATCATGCTCAGAAGGGTGGTGGGGCGATGCAGGAGAGGAAGACCCAGGATGAGACAGATTGATACAGTAACTGGGGCAATGGGGTAGGTCTGTCAGAATCAGTGAGACTGGCTCAGGACAGGGCAGGGTTCAGAGCTGCTGTACACAGGGTCGCAGGTGACTCAAGAGGACATAACAACAACAACAACAACATAACTCACAAGTAAAAAAGGCAAATAGATTTATCATTCTCAGATATTACTATAATTCTTCTAACTGGATGTAGAATAAATTAGTGGAATGGATATATTTATGAAGACACATAAACTGACAATGAGCTTTTCCTTTGCCTTTTACACAAAGCCTTTAATCAGTAATTTTCAATTGTTTCTTCATAGAAAGTATAAAATACAATTTTAAATTCTATTCGTAGGTGCACATTTCATGGGCTCAACAGCAATGGGACTACTGTATCTGGCAGTCAGTGTATGGCCGTCACAGTGCACGGGATAGCAGAAGTCTAATAACCTAAGCTAAAAATAAGACAAACATCTCTACAGAGGTAATGCCGGGCCTGAGAGGTGGTTAATATATCAGAGGTTTTCCTTCTGTGAAACAGAGGGGGAGAAGGACATTTTATGAGTTACTGCTTAAAGAAAAATCAGTAAGATGGAGCTTAATTATAAGCTACAGGGGGCAGGGTGGTAGGCGGTGGTGGTGGTGGAGGATATGCCTGCTTCTAAGCTTCTCCCAGATGGCATGTGAGGTACAGAGAGAAACTGGCATCAGCTCTTTCTCTTCTTACCCTACCCGGTCCTAAAAAGCCTCACCCACAGATCTATATGCAGGTAACATGAAATGTCTCCTTCCAAAACAGATGGAACTCTGGTCTTCAAAAAGCCTAGTTCCTTTACTATGTTTCAAAAGTGACTCACTAAACACACTCAAGCCCAAACACCATTTCCTGCTTTGCTCTCTGGAGCTGTTCCTCCCATCATGTTTGTTATCACAGTGAATGGCATGTCCACCCACTCTGACAATTAGTCCTTCTCAACTACCCTCCACACAACCAGTAAAGCAATCTGTCCTTTTAAAGTCTATCTCTTAAAAAACTGCTACTTTAGTCCACTTCTCTCCAACTCCTGCCCAGCCTACAAAGTGCTATACGATCTGGCTTTTTTCCTTTTCTCCATGCCTCTTCAGTGCTCATCAAGCTTGGGACACACGTGTTTTCTCTCTTTTACTCAACATGCCAAGTTTATTCTTACCTTACTATTTTTGTCTCTTCAGAATGTTCTACTAAGTCTTAGCTCTTCAGCAGACTTAAATTCATATAAAATTCCATGCTGTATTCCCAGGGTTTAGGATAATGTCTGGCACACAGTAGGTCTTCAGTAAATGATTGAAGGAATAAACAAATTTCCACTGGTGCAACCTAAATTTGTTGCCCTCACCCACCATACCTTTGAGCTGGCACTGATTCACCACTGACCCTCCAGTGGGTTTTCTGAGGCTGTAAATCCCATGGGCAGAGACTGCCTATCTCTCCTCCATGGAGCCAATGGTAGATCTGAACCCCTAGAAAGGCGTAGCCTTGGGTTAGTAGTGCGACTCCTTGTGGACAATGCCAGGGGCCATGCACTCAGCTGTGACTGACAGCAACCTATGGGCAGCGGAACGAAGCCCCAACCTGATCCTGCAGCGTCCTCTACTTAACTGCATTATCCCATCAGTTTCCTCTTGTAGTATTTTTTCTCTCCTTAAAAATCATGTTTTACAATGTAGCCAGAGTAATTTTAATACCAATATGGTGGCATCACTGCTATTCAATATATCACTACTACACTCTGAGGAAGTTCTATCATTCACTGGGTTTTAAACCATTTCATTTTGGTTCCATCATGACAGAGGAAACAAAACTGTGAGACTAATTTTTAAAATGGGAAGAAGTATGCATTCACACTCCGCTAGAAACCTCATTTCACTCCTAGAAAACAAGGGTAGAAGCAGCACCACATAACCTATGTCCTAACTGGCAGAGTTAGAAACAACAGTACCTTGTTCAAACATGGTGGCCAATCACACTGCTCTGAATGGGTGTATTTCACAGCCCTGGCAACAGTCAGTCCCCTTTCCTGCATAGAGTTCTTGAAGGGGCTCACTCTAACTCAACTCTCCCAGCCTATGGCATCAGTTTGTAATTCTCCCCATTCCAGTTACTGCCCCAGTAAATCCACAGTTTGCAAATTTGGGTCTGTTCTGATTTTCCTGCATCAGTATAACTGACCCAGTTGGAATGAGTCTGATGCCTTGGTGACTCAGAAAATATAATCTTTCATTATCTGGCCTCTGTTTACCAGTCCTGTTTCCCTCCCCATACAGTCTCCAACCAAATGGAGTTTATATACTGCCAACACTTCAAACATTCAAGGCTGTCTTGCCTCTTGAACTTCCTGCACATTTAATTGGTCTGGTCGTCTTCAATTCTCTTTTATCATCACTTCCTTTAGATAACCTTTCCTAAGTCTTAAAGGATTAAGTCAGAATGCCTTTCCTATGCTTTCCCACAAACTACCCTGTGTCTTGAGTTTTCCCACATATATGCTGGTTTTTGCAGAAGGATGGGAAATCTCCTCCCATGAGATTAAATGCCTCTGAAAACCTGAAGAGAGGGACAGCTGTGGGTCAGTCCTCACTCGCTGGTGCACAACACACACTGGTTTTGGATTTCCTGCCTACTAGGCTGTGTCCTTCCTGAGCACAGAACCTTACCTTATTTGGGGATATTGTTACCACTGAGCACAGTGCTAGTGACAAATACTATAACCCAACCACTGCAGTCAAGTGGATTTTAATTCCTGGCAAGCCTCCACTGGGCTTCTGAGGCTGTGAATCTTGATAGCAGGAGATGGGGTTAAAAAGTGTTGGTGAACTTTACCTTTTCAAGCAATGAAATTATCAGAAACCTTGGTTAGTACAGAAAGGCACCGTGGACCAAAACCAAAGGATAATAACACATACAGTGCCTTGATGAAGTGATACACTAGTTCTGAAAACAATGAGAAGAAGGATTCCAGAAACTATCAGTGGAAAAGAGAAATGGAGACCAAACAACTCTCAAGTAAGGTGAAAACAAAGAAATGTGTAAAGTCATAAACCCTTTGAGAATCTGAGGGAAACTAGGGCTCCTTTCCCCAAAGAAAGGCATGTGTTTGTGGGTGAACATATCTGTAAAAACATCTGCATATAATATTACAAAGTCAGGCACCTTGAAGTCTACTTATGAACCCAGATTAACACCATAGTATAAAGTAGCAGCTTTATCTATTTTTTTTACTGTAACTCATAGAAAAAACATTACAATGTAATTGTGAGTCATCAGCACACAGTTGTTTCTGAGTTGAATTTGGCTCATGGCAATATAAGAAGACAGAAAAACTGCCTTGTTGGGTTTCCTAAGAGCCCTGGTAGTGTAGTTGTTAAGTGCTTGGCTACTAACTGAAAGAAGGGTGGTATGAACCCACTAGCCACTTTGGGGGAGGAAAGATATGGCATTTGCTTCCTTAAAGATTTATAGCTTCTAAAGCTTTAAATCTACTTTCTCCTATAGTGGTCACTGTGAGTTGAAACTGACTTGATGGAAATGAGGCTTACAGGAGATTAAAAGGTCTTTTCTCCCCTGGAGTGGCTGGTGGGTTTGAACCAATGACATTTTGGTTAGTAGGCAAGTGCTTAATGATGGTACCAAAAGAAACTATTTCATAAAACAATCTCAACTTACCATGACAGTAGAGTATGGTCATGTTTTCTCTCCTCTTTGATTTCAAGGAAAAAGGTTAGCCTTTGATTTACTGTACTAACTTAACAATGTGCAGTTTGAAAATTACTATAGCATAACTGCTCGATAATTTGAATAAGTTAATAATAAACAGAAAACTTATTTTATTATAAATATTATTGTTTTATTTTAAAATAAGATTGGATTCTTCATGGCACTTGATGCACTTTTTTTCATTAATCTACATGGCTAACCACTGGAAGTACGGATAAGGAAATCACAATCACATGACAATCATAGAAACTGCGTACCTTAATGTTAGAAAACCATAAGTCATTTTCATGTAAGGTGGCAAGATAGACTGATGTGAGCAGTCCAATACAAAGGGCAATAGTTCCGCCAATTGCAAATGACAGAATCTTCCATAATCTTTTGCTGGTACCACCTTTTGGAAAAATCAAACAGATAAGAGAATGAAGTCAGTAAAGGATTCAGAATCCTGTAACTCTACTTCAGACTAACAGGTATGCCACGTCTCAGTTCTTTGTCCTTGGTCAAGGTTTCCTTGTCCCCAAAAAGATAAGAGTCCCTTTTCTTGGGCTCCACAGATCTCTTTTCTTAGTTTTATTCATTTTACTCCATTCTTCCCATATTCACTTGTCCATTTTGCCATCCAGAAAATGTGGTTTCTGATGAGAAGTATTGTATATTATGAATCTTTAACATTTAAGCCCTACATCTAGCACAGTTAAACAATTAGAGCTTAACTATTAAGTTTGTTAGAGAAATAAATGAATGTAGGATGTTTGTCCTTTAGATGCTCTATTTACAATTTGTAGTTATGAAGAAAAACTACCACAAAACTTAAAAGAAAAACAACAACAAACCCCCAAAACTACAGGAAAACCAACCTATAACATGTTTGCTGTTATTGTTGTTATGTCCCGTTGAGTCGCTTGCAACTCATAGCGACCCTATGTACAACAGCCCTAAACCCTGTTCTATCCTGTGCCAACCTCATTGCCTCTGACACACCCACCCCGATTACCCCAGTCACTGAATCAATCCACCTCATAGAGGGCCTTCCCCTCCTGCGCTGTCCCTCTAACTTCCCAAGCATGATGTCCCTCTCCAAGGGAGACATGAATTAAAAGAACGAATTATAGTACGTGCAAGAACGTTTACCATATCCTGGGGCATATGATAACTATTTCCAGGACAATAAAAAAATTTAAATATTCCATTGCCATTGCTGAGTTGATTCGACTCCCAGTGTCTGCTCATCAGGTTTTAGAGGCTGTAAATCTTGATGGAAGGGCACTGCTCATTTTTCTCCTGGAGTGTTGGATTGACCTGAACCACTGAACTTTCAGTTAGCAGTCTAATATGTTACATACTATGCCACCAGGGATTCTGTTATACTCTAGTAGGAAAATAACTACGGGCATGAGCCGAAAAGAAACATGGATAATAAATGGGTGACTCAATGCTAGCGAGTCAGAGCTGACAAAGAAGAGACCCTCAAGTGGGTTTTCACAGGCTGTAAACTGCCCTGGAGGAGACTGACCATATTTCTCCTGTGGAACCAATGGTGGATTCCAACTGCCAGGAGGCACTGTCTTTGGGTTGGTCCCTACAAACTACCCCATGAGAGCTCCTCAATATGACACTGGTGGGGGGGAGTTCAAATTCATTGTTGTCGTTGTTATGTGCCGTCGAGTCATTTGCAACTCATAGCGACCCTATGTACAACAGCCCTAAACCCTGCTCTATCCTGTGCCAAGTGCACTGCCTCTGACACACCCATCCCGATTACCCCAGTCACTGAATCAATCCATCTCATAGAGGGTCTTCCCCTCCTGCGCTGTCCCTCTACTCTACCCAGCATGATGTCCCTCTCCAAAGACCTGTCTCTCCTTACAACATGTCCAAAGTATGTCAGATGAAGCCCCAGAATCCTTGCCTCCAAGGAGTAGCCTGGTTTAACCCTCTCTAGGATGAATCTGTTTGTTTTCTTGGCAGTCCATGGTACATTCAATACTCTTCTCCAGCACCACAGCTCAAAGGCATCAATTTTCCTTCTGTCCTCCCTAGTCATTAGAGTTAAGGAAATGCAAAGCAAAATAATCAAGCACAATTAAAAAAAAAATCTCAGTCAATTTGAAGGAACCCTAGTGGTGTAATGATTAAAGAATCTACCTGCTAATCAAAAGGCTGTCAATTCAAATCCACCAACTGCTCCATGGGAGAAAACGCTAATAGTCTGCTCCTAAGAGTCTTAGAAACCCTACAGGTATTTCTACCCTTAACTACAGGGTGAGTCAGTATGTTTGGTTTGTGAATTTGATAACTTAAAATGCTACTCTGCCTTGGTAATGGTATAAATATTCAACAGTTTTCTCTGTGGAAAAGAGCATGATAATATGGAGCAAACCCTACTTAAATCAACCTACTACATGACCAGTAATTCAAAATCTAGGAATATAACCAAAGAACTAGCTTTAAATGGACATCTGAGCATACATTTATCATAGTGTTCTAAGTGTTAGTAAAATGGAAAAATTATCTAAATACTTAACAACAAAGTATTTGTTAAATCAATTGTGCACCAGTCCCAAAAGAATCCTATGCAGTTGCTGCCAGGGGCCCTCACTAGTTTGTGGCACTGTGGTGGTTTATGTGTCTAGAAGCCTCGTCTTCAGCATTTCAGATGCAAGAAGTGTCAGCCTCCTGGGCAAGCTTCAAGTGGTGCTTCCACACTAAGACAGACTAGCAAGAGAGGCCTGCCAACCCAATTCAGAAATGAGCCACTGAAAACCTGTGAATCACTCCATAACCCTGTTCAGCTCACTTTGAGCAAGTCATCAGGTGAAGCAGAGGGATACTGAGGCTGAGGAAGAGCCTCAATAACATGGCCTGGTACAGCAGACACTTGCCACATTAAAAAACACAAGTGATTTAAAGTAGACACATAAGGACAAAGGTTCATCCTGATGTAAAGCAACTTATGGTGCTAAGTTTGAGATCAATTTGAAGGTAGCTACAAAACTATGCAGTCACTGGCAATACTTTATATGTGTATTTACTGCTTGAGACTCAGTAGTGTCATATGATCCTAATCATATGAAATATCTAGAATTGGCAAAAGTATAGACTAAACTTTATTAGTGGTTACTAAGAGTAGGCGAGCTCTGGAGGCTCAGTGGGAAAGAGTTACACTGCCAACCCAAAGGCAAGTGGGTCAAATCCACCGGCTACTCTGTGGCAGAAAGACAGGAATCTCCTCCAGTGCAACTCCCAGGCTGTGAAAACCACTGGAGGATCAGCTATGACTTGACAGCACGTAACAACAACAACAATGGGAGAGACAGAAAAAATGGGAGCAACTGTCTGAGGGTGGTGGGGAGCAGAGTTTCTGCTAAGGGTGATAGAAAAATATGGAAAAGGGTAGTGATGATGGTGGCACAGTATGATAAATGCAATTAATGCCACTGAATTATGCACGCAAAACTGGTGAAATGGTAACATGTTTTATTACATACATGGTACAATAAATGTTTTTAAAAACATATTTACTGACTTATGACAGGTTCTTATTTGAATAAGAGGAAAATATAACAAGTTACAAACAGTAGGATCCCAATTTTGTTAAACTACATATGCATGCTTGCGGGTATATACGTGCAGAGAACAAATAGGCATTTACCATGGAAAGATAATCAAAGTGTCACTAGTGGCTGCCTCATGATGGATGAGTTGCGGGAGTTCTTTTTCCTTCCCTTTTGCTTCTCCTCAGCTCTCTGATATGAATACATGCTGCTCTGAACAACCCCCAAAGTTACGTGTTACTTAAAAAGAAAATAAACTTGGATTTACAGGCATGCTGTTAGGCGCCTTCGCATAGAACTGACTCCCATAGAGACCTTAAAACAGATCAAAACCTTGCCTGGCCGTCATATCGTACTTGCTATGCCCATCTATAACTGCTAATAACAGGGTTGGATGGTATGACTCACCCCCCAATACAGGTTAATGAAACTGTTTCTCCCAATTACTAACTCTGGCTAAAAAGAATATGGTTGCAATTAAGGTAAATTTTGTCAGATATCCAAAATAGTCTGATGGGTATAAGAATTTTGAGTCTTACTTTAAAAATCTTGGCAAGCGTACTTAAAAATTAACTCAAGAGATAGAAGTTGGTGATTAATACCATTGGATGTATACCTTAGCACATTTTCAGTATTACATTAACAGTTTACCAAATTCCTAATACTTTTCTCACTAAAAGATACAAAGGAGAAAAATGTCACGAATTTGACCATAAGTAATGAAAAGGGAGCTCTGGAGGCTCAGTAGTAAGGAAGCATGCCACCAATATAAAGGCACAAGGTTCAAATCACCAGCTGGGCGGGGGGAGAAACACCGGCAATCTCCTCTCATGTGATTTATTAACTCTGGAGGATCAGTTCTGACTCTTCGGTACACAACAAAAACTTTGATTACTTCAAGGAAATGAAAAATTAACCCAAGACAAGGTTGCCAAATGGAAACATTGTATATACTGGAGAAAAATGAAAAGAAGGTTAGCATCTGAAGAATGGGGAAAACATCAACCTGGGAGTATAAAAATCCAGATGGGCAAAGGCAGATGAGAGACCACTGAGAGACAAGGTATTCAAATCAAAACTCTTCTTTCTTGGAATCTGAACTGTAAACTCAAAACAATTACAAAACTGAAACATCGGGCACTAGAACAAAGTTTCCCCAACTTTTAAGTTTTACCACTTTTTTTCTTATGCTACTGGCAAGTGATATTTTAATGTGTGTGAAATAAAAGCAATCCCAAATGCTGCTTCAGTTTAAATCTCTTACCAGATGGCAATTTGTTTTCCAACTTCCCATTTTCTTCTTGTGCTGGATGATCCTCACAAACGTCTGTGGCCTTTATTCCTTTTCTTTGCCGAATGGACATCATGTCAAAGGCTTACATGCATTGTTCTTCCAACCTCCCCTACAAGCAACATGGAAACAAAGTGTCCATCTTCATGTCAGTGCCTTCACTTCCTGGCACTGGGCTCCTGGATTTATTTGTGCTGTTCTCCCTTGCTTAACATGCCCTCCCATTTCTCCATCCAAATCTTAGCCAGCCTTTAAAGTGAAACAATACATAACCCAAATATTTAACACATACATGAAGCAAGCACCTGTTGTGTGGCAGTTACTTCTACTACTGGTAGCAACAGGGACAAGTCCCCACCCTTGTTCTTCTCCCCATCCCTCTATTACCTGCTGGTCTGTTTCCTTTCTGAACCACAGCCGTTACCAGGTAATTTGTCACACCATTTATAGAGCTTTATGCAACTGTAAGGGGAGCTCTGGTGGCAGAGTCCACCGAGAGTGTGTGCTAGTAGATAGATGGTTGGTGGTTCAAATCCACCACCTGCTCCAAGGGAGAAAGATGGGCAATCAATCTTCTCCTGGGTGATTTGCAGCCTCAGAAACAATGGAGGATCAGCTTTTTACAAGTGGGTTCCAAGGCAATGAAGTTGTTTTCTTGCTTTAAAGCAACTAGAGGAGAGGCTGTTCTTTGGGAAGGGACATCACGCTTGGGAAGGTGGAGGATCAGCAAGGGATTCCTCCAACAAGATGGACTGCACAATGACTGCAGCGCTGCGCTCAGGGGTGTCAGAGATAATGAAGAAGGCACAGGGTAGGACAGGGTTCAGGTCTGTTGATTATAGGGTCGCTCTGAGTCATGCTCGACTCAACAGCACCTAACAATAACATTATGAACAATAATAGTTAATACTATACTGTGGGCAACAGCAGGTTTTGTTATCTCCCACAGAAGTGGCCACACACAGGGAAGTGGTCAATAATAGCAAATCTGGAGCAGCCTGGTTTTGAAGATTTAAATCTGAGTTTTCATAAGTGTTTTCTTTCTTTCTTTTTTAACAATCCATACTGCAAGCCTGAGGATTATGCCTGGTGGTGATGCCAATCAGGCAGCCTGAGCAACAGTGGGAGTAACCGCAGGGAGCAGGAGCTGGGTTTGGAAGCAGCTTGTGGGAGGCAGGGGAGTGGTGGTTGAGATAGCTGGTTACCGGCCCCCGGAACATCTTGTTTCCTTGGATAAAGATTTACCAATTATTAGTTAAATACAGATCCGCAGCTTGACCCAATTGTTTGGACACTTTATTAATTACAAAAGGTAAACACTTTACTACATATATAGATGAGAACAAACAGGCCAACACCATACACAGTTCATTGTGGGAGGGAAAGCTGACACGGGGCAGCTATGATGCCTTCAGGCGCTGAAAATTAATAAGGGGTAGTGAAAGGAAGCAAAGTGTCAGCAAGGTGGTGTGATCTTTTAACCAGATTACCTATTTTTAGAGTAAACCCTTAGTAAGGAGAGACGAGTTCTTAAAATCCACACTTCACACACGCCGATCAAGTTAAGACAGAAACTCTATAAATATTTAAGTGCCAATTATGTGTCATGCAATGCTAATCCTATAAACTGTAGAAGTTCCTCCTCCAAAGGAAAAAGAATGCTATCTTAACTGTTTGCATAGAGAATAAAAGCAATCACTCCGTTAACAAGAATGACTACTACGCACTGCTCCACTGCTCGGCTCCTGGGCGCCGCGGGGCACTCAGTTCAGCTCACCTCCTCACCACACCTGCAGCACCTGCCATTCTCGGCAGTCCCCGGGGCGGGCATGTGTCTGACAAGTTCGGTCGCTTGCACCAGGTCACTAGTATATAAACGGCCCCGCGGGGATTCGAACCCAGGCCCTCCGGCCATCCGCGCCGCCAACAGCGGAGAATTCGTTTGAGCCCCTGACACCTCGTTTCGCCGCTGAAATCTGTCCCACACCAAGAGCCCCGAGTCCCGATGCGCGCGCCTCCCCTTCTGTGCGCCACGATGGAGCCGCCAGGCGGGACTTTCGGTCATCAACGCGGATTCTGCGAAACGCCGCTAGGCAGGACGCAGAGTGGAGCCGCTAGCCCAACGGGACATCTGGTGTCCCGCCGCGGAACCCTCGCGCCCGCGCGCCCCCTGCGCCGCCCGCGGCCCGACGCGCAGTCACAGACCTGCGGCCCCTCAGCCGTCCTCGCGCGCGGCTCCCGGGCGGAGAGGCCAGCCGGCCAAGAAGGCAGTGAGGACCCGGGGAGGCGGGACCCCAATCACCTCCCTTTCCGCGTCGCACAGCAGCCTGTAACGCGCCGCGGGAAAGGGAGGACCGGCTACCAGCGGAGCTTTGTGCAACACCGTGGAAATGGGAGGTTAGGGGGGGCGTCAGCAGCCCCAGGGAAGGGGCGCGCCAAAGAGGCAGGGCTGCTCTGGGCGCTCCCATAGGCTCTGCGAGCCGTCCGTCAAGGTGAGGGCCCGCCCCCTCCCGGGGCGCCCCTCCCTGTCTCGTGCAGCGCCGGCCGGAAGGAAGAGCCGCACTTCCGCTCTCGGGTGCTCGCGCCGCTTTGCCCGGCGTCCTGGATTTTCGGTTAGCGCTCCCGCGCTCCCGGCTGTTGCTGCAGTCCCCGCGGTTTGGGGGCTGTCCAGGCCCAGGCAGACGTCCATCAGCGCCAAGCCACAGCGACAGGTGGGAATTGGGGCAAGAGGTTCCGGGCTGCTTCAGCGAAGGGTGGCCCAGCTCGAGCAGAGGGAGGCTCGGTCCCAGGGCGGTGCCAAGGGCTTGAAAGTGGGCCATCCTAAGAGCCACGGAAGATCTGAAGTCGCGGGATGATCTGTTCTATTAAAAAACAGAAGAACCAGAACCCTTCCTGCCTCTCCACTACTGTATACTCGTGTGCTAGGACTTGTAAAGGATTCAGGGAGGGCACTCGGACGAAAGCTGTATGGCCAGTCGGCTGCCGCCCAGCTTTTGGCGCTGCCGAGTCTGGCGCGCCCCCTCGCTGGAACTTGGCAGTTAATCTGCTGCTGATCTGGGCTTGGAAGTAATTGTTTCTTCTTACAGTTTTCTTAATACTTTTGGAGGCGCTTCCATCGTCTAATTAGGTTGTTACACTGTGAAAAGCAGTAAATAAAACGTTTTAGTTCTTCACACCCTTTGAGTGAAAATACACTCTAAAAGTAAAATGATGTTGCTATGTGTCATCAAGTCACCTGTGACTCACAGCGGCCTCATGTGCAACCGCTCTGAACCCTATCCTATCGTGGGCGAGTCTTGCTCCAACATACCTACCCCCATCACCTCAATTTCTGTGTCAGTCCATCGCATCCCGGGGTCTTCCTCTCCTGCGCTCTCCCTCAACCCTTTCAAGCATGATGTCCTGCTTTAGGAACTGGTGCCGCCTCCTGGCGACATGCCGAAAGTTTGTGAGGAGGAGCTTCAAAATCCTTGCCTTAGAGGAGAAACCTGGTTTCACCCTCTTTAAGACAGACTTGTTTATTCTTTAGATAGTCCATGGTATGTTCAATAGTCTTCTCCAGCACAACTCAATGGCATTTGTTCTTAGGTCATCATAAGTCGTTGTCCAGCTCTGTAATACATAGCAAGTAATTGCGAAGACCATGGCCTGAATCAGATCTGCCCTAGTCCCTAGACTGACATCATTGCTGTTTAGCACTATGGTGAGATTCCCTGACGGCAGACTTCCCCAATACAATTCATCTTTTGATTTCCTACCTGCTGGTGCCAAGAGATTTGATTGTAGAGCCAAACAAGTGGAAATTGTTAATCTCGTCTCCATCTTTTGTGGTGCTGCCAGCTGGCCCATTGATGAGACTCTTTGTCTTCTTGATATTAAGCTTCAATCCATATTGAAGACTACAGTCCTTGATCTGCACCAAATGCTTCAGGTCCTCAGTTTCAGCAAGCAAGATTGTTTCATCACCATAATGCAGGTTGCTGATGAGTCTTCCTCCAAGTCTAGAAACTTGTCCTGACTAGGAATGCATCCCAGTTCAGAACAAGAGAACATTTCTATCCAGATGAGACAAGAACTGAAAGTTACACAATAATCATTGTGTGAAATACAATCAGATGAGTCAAAGCCACCTTTATAGGAGCAAGGACTTAGCAAGTATTAACCCCTCCAGTAGATTCAGACTCAGAGCTGCACTCATTGGAAATCTTTACTGCCCATCTTTCACAGCAACTGATGATTGGAACTGCAGCAGCACGTGATAATCTGCACTGTGTGATAGTGGAAAACGTGAGGCTACATGATTGGTTAAGGGTGCATGATTGCAAAGAAATAGGCTCTTATTGCAGGATGGTCACAGGACAATGGGATGACAGGTTTTTCTGGTTGGTAGGTGCCTTTAAGTTTACTACAACTCAGGGTGACCCTATCCTGCCCCATGCTCAGGATCTCTATCATGCCAGAGTCATGGTTATAATCACTGTGTCAGTCCATCTCATTAAGAGCCTTTCCTGACCCTCTTACCTTTTCCAGGATGATGTCTTACTTTCCAAAGAGTGGCGCTGCTGATTATTAGTATTGGGTGCTGTCGAGTTGAGTATGACTCAACAGCAACCTTATAAGCAGTAGATCTGAACCCTGCCGTAACCATTGCAGCAGTCACTATGTCAGTTCACCTGGTTGAGGGTCTTCCTCTCCACTGCCTCCCTACTGTCCAAGCATGATCTCTTCTAAGGAGTAGTCTTTTCTAGTAACATGCCAAAATTACATGAGACCAAGTCTCATCATCTTTGCCTCCAAGAAGCAACCTGGCTTTACCCTCTCTAAGTACTCTCTTCCAACACCACAATTCAAATGCATCAATTCTTCTGTCATCATTGTCTGGCTCTCTGATGCATAGAAGATGACTGAAAAGACCTGGTCTGAATCAGGCACACCTTAGTCCTCAAACTGACATCAATCCTCATCAGCAATTTGGTAAAAATAACTTCAGTACAATACATTTCCTGATTTCACTACTGATGCCTAGTATATTTATTGTGGCTCTAAATAAAATGAAGTCATTGACAGTTTCATTCT